TATATACTATTTTTGTAACTCAGACTTCAATTTTGAGCCTAATAAATCTGCAAAAATGTCTAGTAGTTACTGAGTGTAGATTGACAAAACTGGCAGCAATCGTTTCTGTAAAGTTGAGACATTAACTCATTGTAGTAAATTGTAATCAGATTCTCAGTGGTTATGGAAGAGGCATGTTCTTGCATGTAATATTTAAACAGTTTTAGTAATATTTACTGGTTTTGTGTAACTTTATCTGTGTTTTTTCACTTCATTGTGCTTTCATTCTACTGCTTATCAATTGTCATTAACTAAACCCTACCTGAATTTTCTGACTCTCATGTATTTTAGTCTGCATGTTCATATTTTTGTTGTCTGTAAGAATTTCATCATTTAATGTTGAGCTGCTGACCTGCTGACAGTTGCATACAATCTTGATGGGTGTTTACTGTTACCTCAAATTTAGAAGAAAGAAAGAAAGAAAGAAAGAAAGAAAGAAAAATTTTAAATAAATGACTATTGAAACCTGGACAAATGGATTTAAATAAAGTTCCAGTATATGAAAATGGTGATAACGGTATAGTTTATTATCTTTTCTCTTCTCCTCCCTTCTAGTCTGTGGAGAACTGTGCATGCATTCTCCATAACCTGACCTACCAACTGGAGACCGAGTCCCCTGAGTGCTTCAGCAAGTTCCACCTTCAAAGAGAGGGCCAGTCTGGGAGTAAGAAAAGCCCCACCATTGGATGCTTTAGCCCCAAGAGCAGCAAAGCTCAGAAGGAGGTTGGCATCAATCCCTGCACCTCCATCAGTGTTTGTTGGCTACATTATGATTTTAATCTAACCCCCCACTCCTTTTCCATTCTCCTATCTTCCGTTCCTCCATAGTTTTTGTTTGATGCAGTTCGAGCAATGCCAGACGACAGTGTCCCAACAGGTGTAAAGTGGTTGTGCCATCCTAAAGCTATGCAGACCTACCTGTCTCTGCTGGGAACATCCCAGAAAGATGGCACCCTGGAGGCCTGCTGTGGTGCCCTCCAGAATCTCACTGCCAGCAAGGAAATGGTGAGTACATAGTGTTTAGAAGAGGATTATGAGGCTCATCATACTGTATGTGATTTATTTAAGACAAGGAATAGAGACTGATTGACAGAGGTAGGATTAATGAACAACAGCCCAGATTATGAGAACAACTGGTTATATGAGAAATGGTGGAGTTTTATCCTTCAATGATTCTGACATAACTGGAAAACAAGGGCATACTGGAACCTGAGAGGCATTGTCAGTCAGCTGGAGTGGCACACAGTGCAAATATGGGTTAATTGTGGATTGCTACAGTAACATACTCTCCTTCTCTGTTGTGATGTTTTTTATCAGGGGTCCACTGCCATGAGCCAGATACTGGCTCAAAAGCTGGGGGCCCTGCTGTACATGCGCCCTTTGCTAAAGTCACCCAACCCCAGCCTGCAGAAGACTGCCATGACCCTGCTGGGTAATATGTCTCGAACCAGCAGCTTGCAGACCTCCATGGGTAAGAAGCACATGAAGTTTGTAATGACAATAAGTTTTATTTCAGTGAAATGTTTCCGTGTTTCTACATAAAACTTATTTTCGCTTTCCCGTATTACCTGTGTAATAAAGCAGATTCTGCCTGATCTTACCACCCTGCTCTCCTCTGGCCCCCGGGAAATGGGAAACTCTGATGAAACTATAGCAACAGCTTGCAGCACAGCACGGACTCTGATGTTGGCAGACACTGAGATCAGCAAGAAGGTCATTACTCAGGAGCTAGTCTCGTCAATGGCTGACTTGAGCGAGAATGCGTGAGTTTTGATTGATTCATTCATGTGGGAGATTCAGTCTTCAAACCTGTGACAAAACTTAAATGTGTTTCCTAGAATTCGGCACTGCCTCTTGCAGTCTTGCGTTGGCTTATTTGTGGTATTTATCCATGCAAATGGTTTTGAGTTTTATCTGCCTGTGTTTTGAGATCAGTCTGAGATTTTGACTTTTGTGCATGATTTACCTTAATTGTTTTCTCTGAACTGTTTTCCCTTTGTCTTATCATAGGCTACTCACCTGCAGTCTTTGTGACCTCTGCTATTTTGTCCTAGGTCTTTCCCCAAAGGAAGCAAAGCAGCCTCACTGCTGCTTTACACTTTATGGAACGAGAAGAATTTGCAAGGTGTTGTGAAAAAGGTAAATGACAAAGAACTGATAAGTAGAAAGTGTGGCTGCATTAAGGAAGACACAATACACAATACATACCTATTGTATGTGTGCCAGGATAAAGCTTAGCACATTTATGCACCCATTGCACAAGCAGCAGGAGGGCCAGGCTGCAATTGGTGGGTGTTTCCACTTTCCCTTCCCTTCTGCCACACCCAAGTGTTCAGTGAAACAGTCGCACCGGAATCCTGGCAGACTGGTTTTCAGTGTTCACTGTCTTTGTGGAAAGAGTAATACATGGAAACTGGGAAGAGAGATGAAGAAGAGATCAAGACAAAGAGTCAGAAGTGGACAGGGTGAAGGATCATCGGAATACATGAAACATTTTCTGCAGCAGTAAAGCTTATATGTATGTATGTGTAGATTTATGATCAAAAACACTTCGGTTTCCACATTGCCATAATTTGACCCAGGCTCCTCTAAGTTGCTGACACAATACATTTCTTCTCACAGTTGGTGCAAAGGTGTGTTTTACAATATGTGCGTGCATCTGGTTGACATTCTTAACCGATTTCTTTTTGATTTTTGATCAACAGCTGGGGCTAGCCAAATCACTTTTTGTCAATGATAGCACCACAGCAGTTCACAAATTGGCACAAGTTATCGATTGAGTGTGACAGGCGAGTGGAACAGCGCCATGCAGCCACAGAGGTACAGTACGATTTGCTGCTGGGTCCTTGTAGCTGCTTGTATTCAGATTTTAAGGCCCAGTGGGACCAGAGTGAATAGAATGTGTATCAGAAGGATTAAAACGTTTCCTTTGTGTCTCACTTTGTCTCTCTCTCTCTTTCTCTTTTTTTTTTCCCCGTATGTGCTCGTGTGTGTGCTTGCAGATGGAAACCAGCATGTTTTGACACTGCTGTGGTCACACCCTGCAACCAGGAGAGTAAAATTCTTCAAACAATAACCTTGTTGAAAGAGCCTATCAATCATACGTTGCACATGCAATAGAGAAAAGAGCTTTTAAGCACATGTATAATCCTTATGTGTTGTATATATTTAATTTGCTTATGTTTCTGTTTATGTATATAAACAGGTGAGTGTGTTCTTGGTAGGTTAAGTGTGTGTGCGTGCAAGTGTATGTGCTGAAAGCCAGTTCATAAGGCCTATAAAAAATATATATGAGGAAAGGAAAAAAGAGAAAACAGTTCAAGAATGAAAAACTTGGTTTTTGCAAGAAATGCTACAGTTCTAATGTTTAAAATGCAGTTTAATAGATTTGTTTTGTTGCTGTTTTTCAGTTTTATGTTTAATTCTGTCATTCAAATTTGTTTTATAAAGTTATCAAATATACATATACACATATATGAACAGAAACTGCTTTCACAAAGAGTGCCCACATGGCTTAAGGAATAGTTTGAACTTTTGGGAAACAAGCTTATTGGCATCATCGTGAGGAGTTAGATAAGACCACTGATACCACTCTCATGTGAGTCAGAGAGTAAATACAGCCAGGAGCAAGGTGGCTTAGTGTACTGTAGCACAAAGACTGAAAATAGGGAAACAGCTAGCCTGGCTCTGTCCAAAGGTAACAAAATCCACCTATGGTAGATTACTCACATGATAAGACGTGTTTGTTTAATTTGTACAAGAACCCAAGTGTTAAAATATTTTACAGGGGTTTCATAAAACCCTGTTTTTACACTTATTTTTATGTGGCTTAACCAGGATGCAATGTCCTAATTAATGGAATTACATTACCTTATTAGAGAGGTGGGTTAACCGTTTGCTCCTGTTTTTCGCCTTTACGCTAAGGTAATCACTCGCAAGAGCCTCACTTTTGATATCAGTCTTCAAATCTAACTTTTGTTGAGCTACCAAACATATCATCCAAAATGTCAAACTACACATTTGAAGTGCAGAACTGCCTTGTGCTGTTATGTTGCTTTTTATTAACTTGCCTGTTGAAATTTAGAAATTCTGTTAAGCATTGTTTTTTCACTGTTGCTTCTTTTGTTGCATAAACTGAAGAATTGGATACAGAGAAGGACTTAGGATATGACATGTAACACCTGCATGCAGCTGGTACTCATTCACTTTGATTTGATCATTTTGGCCGTTCACCTTTGGATCAATAGATCATATGTAGTCACCAGTAGAAAAAGCTTATGAGTAAAATTTAAAAATTTTCAGCAGTTGACACACAGTATCCACACAGTCAGTGTTAGCTGGTTCTTTCTTCTGTTTCAAGAGAACGCAGGAGATAAAAAAGGGGCTGTGCCCTGCAACATAAAAATGAATTATTATTTGTGTGCACCACCTCAGGTGAGAGGTATTGATTGAAATATACATGCAAAAATGTGATTTGTTTAAAAACTGTTGTAGTTCTTCATCTAATTCTTTTACAGTATAATTCTTGCTACTTTGCTTATAAAGTTTTAAGGGGTGTTACAGGGCATCGGCTCTCATAACCAAACTGCAGTGTTGTTTACTTAAAACAGGTTTTGAATCTTCTCAAAACTCAAGTGCTTTTTGAAAATCCAGAGGTGAGATGGTTGGCAAATGTGGTGATTCCCCATGGTCCCACAGTGTAGTGCAGTGGACTGTTATAATTGAGACATGTAGTCACTCGGGGGTTTATTTACCTCAGAGAAGCTTGATGTCAGTATTGCCTAGAATGTATTTTTGGAGAATTGTGTGTGTGTGCGCTATACAATTAGGAGCATTCACTGTCAGTCTGTACAGAGAATAAATAACATATGCATACAATATTGTAAATGGGCTTTTCTTTTAAAAAGCAAAATTTAAGATAAAGTGCCAACAGAAGGCAAGTAATCTGTGCATAATTGATGTTTACACAGTACGAGTCATGTTAGTAGATGCTGGATTCAACTATTCTTATACTGTAGATCTCTCAAACTGATTTATCTTCAAGTGTGATTCCAGCAGGATGTTTGTGTGTGTGCGAGTGTGTGTGTGTGTGTGTGTGTGTGCTGTTCTCTAAGACAGCAGCTACAAAAATAACATGAAAAGTCTTCTAAGCTTCATTTTCTAAATCGAGTTTGAGGGTCTGACTGAAGCAGGTTTGATGAGATTTTTAATACTAAAACCTGATTTTGAATGTGTTTTTGCACAATTCACTGTTTCACACAAAAGTGCATTAATCATTGTCATATTCAGAATATACTGAAAACAGTTTAACAGTTTTCTGCATAATTTAGATTTAGATGTCTTTCTCCCTGCATCCTTTTTACCTTTGTCATGTCTGACAGAGGATAGAGGAGAGACAAAAGAAGAAAAGCAACAAGACACAACAATCAGGTCAGGTCAGGTCAATGTGGCTGCTCGTTAGAGATGTAGAGCTCCAGGGCCAGGGCAACCTGCAGAAAGGTACAGGGAGAGAGAGAGGACACACTACGGGAGAGAGGAGACACAAAGTTAGTAATGTGTAATGGTGGCATATAGAAGCATAGGGAGAGAGAGGAGAGGAGAGCAGAGCAGGAGAGGAGGGGAAAGAAACTCAGAGCATCATGGGGCCCCCCAGCAGCCTAGGCCTATAGCAGCATAACTAAGGGA